ATGGATTCATGATGCCTTGCACTCACAGTATTACCTCAGTCTTCCAGGATGAATGACGCTCAGTGTCATTCAACTGAGGACATCTAGTGTCATAATGGAACTGTAGGGGCAGCACAGGAGAAGAGAAGAGGTAAGTATTGCAGCCAGAGTTACTTTTTTTAAACTCCTGCTGGGGGCTATTTAGTTAGGTATGTGATTTAACTAACAAGCAATATTTGGTAATTTTAGCAAGTGATGGACAAACTAATTTTACCCACTTTGCTAAAAAAAAGTACTGTTAATTACATAACTCAGTAGCTCAAGTCTAATTTACACACACAACTGTATGAAGCAGACCGGTGTTTCATCCTCCTACCTCCCTCTTCTTCTAAATGTATACAGATGGCCCCTTATAAATTTACAATAATAGGTAGGTAGCCTGAAGACAAACAGCTTCTTCTCTCGTTTTATATACGCAAAAGAAAAACAAGTGTAAATTTGTACAAATCAAAGTCAAAGAAACAGAGGTAACAGAATGACAAGGTGCTCAAATGACATTTCACAAAAAGTAGACTGGCTAGGACTCTAAGAAGACTAGCTTCTTCAGAGGAGAAATAATAGTCCCTCTCCAGCCAAATGGTCTTACATTTTTCCCATGAGTCAGTCTCCCATGCCAAAAGCTCCTCCATCTGCATAATATCATTGATGATGTCGACCCATTAAGCAATGGAAGGAATGGAAGAGGACTTCCAGCAGGAGGAGAGCAACTGACGGGCAGCAAAAAGAAAATATCCCAGCAAACTTGAATTTTAAGATTGATATGATCCTGGCAAGATAGATAATAAAGCTATGTCTGGCACCGGAGCCAAGGACTCACCATAGATTTCGTTATAGATTGTGAAAACTGCACCAAAAGGGGGAAAGCTTGCCGCATTCCTACTACACATGCAATGACACACTAAATATTCAAGACTGGGTTTCTATACCACCTACTTTATAATTTTTTTCCTGAGCATAACCAGAGATAGACAATTCATGAGTAATCGTAAAAGCTGTATGCCAGTCCTCAGGGGTGATCTTGTGTCCCAAGTCCCTACACCACTCTCTGGTGAATGTGGGTAAGGTCCCATGAGATTTAATTTGGATTCATTTATGCATGGTAGATAGAGTATGGTGGGGCACCTCTGAGAGAGCGCACAGCCCCTCAAGTGTAGTGAAGGGTCTATGTATATGATCAGTGAAATGGAAAGATTTACAATAGGAAGAAAGTTGAAATCTCTTGAGCCAATTTAAAGAGCCCCGGGCAGAGGTCACCTGGGGTATGAAAAGACTGGTGGAAGAGTGGACGCAAGCTTTGGGCCATTTTCTGCTCTCATTTTAAATAATCAATAGAACTCTTTCAATCCTGTATCATGGGGGCACCGTTTACTTGTAAAATTATTTTTTCTATATAAAAACATATTTGAGATATATGTTCAAAAACCTTTAAAATATCAATTATGAATATACAAATTATAACCCAAAGCTATTACAGTTTCCCTTTAAGGACAGACTGACAAGGTTTTCTTGGGGAGCTTGTGGTTACTTGTGTTTGAGCTTTAGTAACAAGTCTACAACATGTGCATTTACTCACGTAGATTTATTTCCCATCTGAAGCCAATTTCAAATCATTTGTTGATTCCTAAGTGTTTCACACCCACTACAAATCATCCTGATCACTCCTCACTAATCTTTTCATCATCTACCCACACACACTATTCCAAGGATCCACATTATTTGTGTAAATTGGGAATTTGCTTGTTCTACACACCATGGGTTCGTCTGTAATCCACATCACCGCAGTAGGAAGCTTTAATAAAAAAATATAGGGATTGTAAACTGAGTAAAATAAATTATCCACTGCATTTTTGGCATGGAATACATTTACTGTCATACTGTTTGTTTTCTTGTTCCGCATACTGAGTGCCTCTCAACATTTCATAGACATATTCCACATATTTCAAGCTGTAACGACTGTTTAGATTACGCAACACCAGGTCTTCGCTGAATCTAGAGAACTGGTGGGCAGACATTGCAATTCACAGGAAACCATAAGCATTAACGGGCACAAAACAATTTAATATGTTACTAACTTAGGGCTTTGCCCTCTGAAAAGTGATCCATAGCAGATCACGTTTTAAAGGGCATTTGACAGGCAGTAAGGAAGCGTTATGTTGCCTCCTCACCACCTGTTTACCCTTAAAACCCCTCAGCACCATACCACAGCCAATTTCGGCATGGCCCCATTCACTTGAATAAGTTGCGCTCAGCAGACAATACTGTCTGCCAACACATTGGGGGGAACATTTCTGCCACATGTGTGCATCTTTGCATCTGTACATCCTGTGCCTTTGCTGCCTAAGGGGGAGCAGTTGGGGAGTGATAACATAATGCACCATCCATGTGTTTTTACCCCCCAACCACAAGAGTAAACATAGCCTTAAAAGTGTATGTTACCCAACCCAAATTCATATTCCTGATATGTGTCTGTCTTACCATGTACTTGTATGAAAAATTGTCCTATTCTCTTTGCATTGCTTCCTTTGTGTGAAATACCTTGTAATCCTGCCAGTCCCCTTGCTTTTCTATTTCAAACTGACCACACCAGACATGGAATCACATCCATCACAGCGTGGCCAATTTTCCTCTTTGCATTCTAATTGGGAGCACAATCTGCCTGTAATGCAGTGGTCAGACATTTCCCAGCTCATCTCTGGGAAGATCAGTGTGCTACTGTTTCTCTGTCTACATGTTGACACGCCTCCTACAGTCTCCACTCCCACCTCTCTAAGCCCCTTTATGCAGCTGAGAACAGAGATCGTGTGATCTCTTATAAAAAAAGGATAAAAAAATTATTTATAATTTTGTAATATATTTTTTACACAAATGTTTTGCCTTGCATTTCTATTTTCACATCAGGTGAAAACGCGGAGATGTGAATGTGTCCCATACGAAATCATGCTAAATGGACTGTAGTATGTTTCTGCAAAACACAAAATGCTGCGGAACACACTTAGGTGTGAACCTAGGATAAAGATGAGAGTTTAGACCACCGGTAGTGCCTGCCTAAACTACTGTGTAAAGCACTGGAGTGGGGACAATGCTTATCTTTGCAGTTAAAGCTGGTCATACACAGTTAGAAAATTGTTAAACACATTCAATACACTAGATCAGGGGGGTCAAACTCCATTTAATCGTGGGACATATCAGCATTATGGTTGCCCTCAAAGGGCCGGTTGTATCTGTAAGACTAGATTTCCAGAACACCTCACCCCCCAAGAATCCCACGCCCTCCCTAACATAAGCATGCACCCCTTTGGCAGCAGAGCTGGAAAGCAGAAAGTGCAGGGTCTGGAGGAGGACCAGAGGAGGAATGGAGTCAGTTACCAGAGTCTGCTGAATGTGGAGACCAGGGGAGGCAGAAATGAGGGGGTGCTGCAGCTGCCTTGAGAGGTGCAGGATTTGGCAGAGGAGTTCTACTCTTTCTGCTGCCGACTGCTGAGACAGGGTGGGGGCAGAGACAAGGGGGTACCTGCAGAAGAGGTGCAAGAGCCACATGAAATGGTCTGGAGGGCCAGATTCGGCCCACGGGCCTGTATGTGACACGTACACTAGATCTTTTAACATTCAAAACTTTAGTGGGTTAATTTTCGATTATCGAAATGCAAAGTTTTCTGGCAAAAGAACGAACCATCATTTCAGCTTTTGAAGCCTAAATGATCGATTTTCTAAACATTAGTAGTGGAATCAATCGAAAACTGTTTGAAAAAATCTACAGTGCATGCACATGTTAAAATGTAACACCATAAGTGTAATTGAACGACAAAACGTTACTATTTTTGTTGGTATCGATCGATAATATGTCAATAATTGGGGGTTGAATATTGATACAACGATGGCGTTACTGCATGCATATTCAACAGAGCTTTATAAATTCAATAATTTTTTTCAAATTATTTTCTAACCATGTATGGCTGGCATTATTCTGGGCATGTAGAGCATGCCAGAGTTGCAAATATTAGTACAAGGATTTCTTGTTGAGACCAAACTCAATCTGTAGTGGGTAAAATGATTTCAGAACACCCTTGTCATATTGTACAGACACTGTTGTGATCTTAACCCCTTACCACTGTGACACATTTCTGAGCTTGGATACCTTGGGGGGATTCATTTAGCCACAAAAGGGTATATTTGGAGAGGTTTCTAACACTGAGTAGGAGCTTGGCAGCATTCCACATATTCCCCATAAGATACATGGTGGGGCAGCTGGCATGTGCCTTGGCATACTATAGCTATTTGTTTCCAGGCATAGTAGTGTATGCTAGCCCTGGAGTATGAGAACAGTTGACCCCCTCCCAGCCCATCCAGGGGAGCTGTGAGGCCTCCCTAATCTTTAGGGGACTGCCGGATCATAAGGTTAAAGTGGTTGTAAACCTAAAGAAAAAAATGCTCCTGTTTCTTTAACCACTAGCCTACAGGGCACTTATACCCCTCCCTGCCCAGGCCAATTTCCAGCTTTCAGCGCTGTCACACTTTGAATGACAATTGTGCAGTCATGCAACACTGTACCCATATGAAATTTTTATCATTTTTTTGAGACAGAGCTTTCTTTTGGTGGTATTTAATCACCTCTGGGTTTTTTATTTTTTCTTAAACAAACCAAAAACCACTGAAAATTTTGAAAAAAAAAAAGTTTTTTCTTAGTTTTTGTTATACAATTTTGTAAATAAGTGATTTTTCTCCTTCACTGATGTGCGCTAATGAGGCTGCAGTGATGGGCAATGATAGGCTGCACTGATGGACACTGATAGGTGGCACTGATGGTCACTGATGAGGAGACACTGGTAAGTTGCACTGATGGGCCTCGACAGGCATCACTGATGGGCACTGAAAGGCAGCACTGATACATGACACTGATACATGACACTGATAGGTTGCACTGATAGGCGGCACTGACTGGCACTGTTAGGCGGCACTGACTGGCACTGATGCGCACTGATAGGTGGCACTGATTGGCAGCACTGATAGGCGGCACTGACTGGCATTGATAGGCGGCACTGACTGGCACTGTTAGGCGTCACTGACTGACGGCACTGACTGGCACTGATGTGCACTGATAGGTGGCACTGATTGGCAGCACTGATAGGTGGCACTGATTGGCATTGATAGGTGGCACTGACTGGCACTGATGGGCGACATTGAAAGGCAGCTCAGATGAGCACTGATATGTGGCATTGATGTGCACTGGTATACACTGATATGTGGCATTGATGTGGCACTGATGGGCACTGGCACGTGGCACTGATAGGCACTGGCATGTGGCACTGATGAGCACTGACAGGTGGCACTTCTGGGGCCACACTGATCATCAGGGCACACTAATCATCAGTGCCCTGATGATCAGTGTACATGTCCCCTCCGTGGAAAGCCGATTACCGGCTCTCCTCTCCTCTCAAGCTGTCAGCGTGACAGCTCGAGAGGAGAGAAATGCCGATAACCGGCATTTCCGTGTTTACATGTGATCAGCTGTGATTGGACAAAGCTGATCACATGACCGAGCCGACATCTTCGGCTCTTTCCGTGATCCGCTGCGTCCAAGGGACACAGCGCACCGGCGATCGCTGCGCGCTTCCTGAGCCGCGCATGCGCAGTGAGAATGGTAGGACGTCATATGACGTCCTATCAGAACGAGAGAACCACCTTGCGCCCGTCATTGTACTATAGGGTGGGCGGAAGGTGGTTAAAGCATGATAAATCAAACAGTGCTTTTGCAGTGTCATTCATCCTAAAATAGTTGATCCTGCCTTTTCCTGTATTCCCCTGTGTGTACTGACCACACTAATCATGGCTGCTGATCCATGATAGAGTGGTCAGTGTACATCCTTCCATTATCCCGCTATGTGTTCAGAACCCCTGCCGGTCATTTCTGTAGTCAGTGTTGTGAGCCAATCTCCTCCTTGCCCCCCCCACCACTATTTCCCTGTGACTATATATATATATATACAGTTGTGTTCAAAATAATAGCAGTCAGACATCACTAACCTGATCAATCACTGTTTTTGGTAGAAATGATATTTCTACATGGCAAATAATTTACTATCAGGTGTAGTAGAGTAATAGAAATCCAACAGACCCAACAGTCATGACATGCATGCTGCTGATTCTGTGTAATTGAAACACTAATTGAAAGGGGCATGTTCAAAATAATAGCAGTGTGGAGTTTTATCAGTGAGGTCATTCATTCTTTGAAAAGCAGGTGGCAATTATTGCCCTTATTTAAGGAAGGAAGGCAGCAAATGTTGTACATGCTGGTTACAATGTATTTCTCTCTGAAATTCTGAGGAAAATGGGTCGTTCCAGACATTGTTCAGAAGAACAGCGTACCTTGATTAAAAAGTTGATTGGAGAGGGGAAAACATATAAAGAAGTGCAGAAAATGATAGGCTGCTCAGCTAAAATGATTGCAAATGCTTTAAATGGCAACCATTATTTTTTTGGGTCTAGTGGCCAGAGACAGTTTGTCAGACGACCCCCAAACACTGAATTCAAGCCACAGTACACTGTGAAGACAGTGAAGCATGGTTGCGCAAGCATCATGATATGGGGATGTTTCTCATACTACGGTGTTGGGCCTATTTATCGCATACCAGGGATCATGGATCAGTTTGAATACATCAGAATACTTGAAGAGGTCATGCTGCCTTATGCTGAAGAGGAAATGCCCTTGAAATGGGTGTTCCAACAAGACAACGACCCCAAACACACCAGTAAACGTGCAACATCTTGGTTCCAGACTAACAAGATTGACGTTATGGAGTGGTCAGCCCAATCCCTGGATCTTAATCCAATAGAAAACTTGTGGGGTAACATCAAAAATGCAGTTTCTGAGGCAAAACCAAGAAATAGAGAAGAACTGTGGAATGTAGTCCAATCATCCTCGGCTGGAATACCTGTTCACAGGTGCCAGAAGTTGGGTGACTCCATGCAACACAGATGTACAGCAGTTCTCAGAAACAGTGCGACTACAACTAAATATTCATTAAGTGATTCAAAGGAAAGCAAAATCTTCAAACATTTTTCAGTTTATATAGTGAATGTTTGAGTTTGTAAAGAAGAATACAAACACTGCTATTTTTTTGAACAGTCTAATATTCACTTTTCTTCAATTTTTTTAGAGGAACAACACAAATTTGATATATTTTTCTTCATGTTTTGATTTGGAATAGAATGTGTAGTGTTCCCAATGTATTTGTGTGTATGGAAATAAAAGCTATTAGAAGGATTTTGAGCTTTATTCACCTTTTTCAACACACTGCTATTATTTTGAACACAACTGTATATATATATATATATATATATATATATATATATATATATATATATATATATATATTATTATTATATTATACAGGATTTATATAGCGCCAACAATTTACTCAGCGCTTTACAATATAAAGGGAGACAATACAGAAAATCCAGGATGATGCAGACAACACACTATTGATGGTAGCAACCCTCTCTGCATCTTTACACTATGAGTGCAAGGTGGCTTGGTGATGCCCCCTCAGTGGCTGTGCTTATGATGCACTGCAACCACAGGATACCCTCAGTCTTTCAGGTTGAATGGCATTATTCAAACCAGAAGATTCAGGACAACGTGTGAATGAAAAAAGTACTGTGGAGGGGAAACAGTATAAAAAAGATTTAGAGTTAATAGAGTTATATTACAAATAATGCAAATGGGGAAATGGGGACAAAATTTGCATCATTAATGCTGCAGGCTCCAAAATCTTTAATACTGTCACGTGACCCATAATATTTAACCTTTAACTGAGATATCAGTATCTGTTCAAATGTACACAAATGGAAAAAGCTTGTTAAAGACAAAGCCAGCTATGAATTTTTCTGGAACAAATAAACTAAAGAAAGAAAACTAAAGACACTAAAAAATGCAAGTGTTTCTACTAGGCAACCATGGCTCTGCCCACAAGATATCTACCATTGGTACCACATGACTGACACACTTTAAGCAATGAAGACAGTGAGTTGTATATACAGGGAAGAGCTGGGAAGCCATACCACTACTGGGCAATGGAACATACTTTCTATAATGCAGCTAATTAAAACTCTAATTTAATAAAAACAACATTAGTGTGAAATACTAAACAAATCAATCCATTTTGAATTTTGCTTAGCGTTTTCAACATTATAAAAAGTTAGAATCCATAAAAATATCTGACAAAAGGCACGCTATGAATAAATTATGAAAAGTTATATATATATATAACTTTTATTCCCTCTGTTTTAGAAAGATGTAAAGTACAGTGTGTCATTTTAAATTATAATACTAAATACCTTCTTGACAGCACCGCTGTGTGGTCACGTGTCCTCCTCTGCTAGCTTGTATATATCTGTACACCTTAGATTGGGAAGGAGAATGGAGGGAGGACACATGACAGGTATTTACAGCATTTTAAAAAAGGTGAAAGTGATGTGCCAGCACCTTAGCTGTAATTTTAACATCAATGTTTAACAGGGAGATTGGCCTATATGAGCCAGGCAGTAGGTGATTTGTATTTTTGTTCAACAGTACAACTATGACATCCTAATTTATGCGTTGCAAAAGCTTTGCCCAGCTCATATAACATTAGAGAAGAGTCTAGTGAATCACGGTCTGTCACAGGGGCGGACTGACCATTTGGAAACTCGGGCACTGCCCGAGGGCCCGAGGTCAGTAGGGGGCCCCATGAGATGCCCCTGGTACCTTTATCATAGGTTTTTTTGAGTTTGGGCAAGGACACAGGGGCCCCATGATCCCCTATTGCCCGGGGGCCCCATGAGTTGTCAGTCCGCCCTGGTCTGTCAGGTTCAATTGTGGAAGATCAAAGCTACACAAGTAGGCTTTCATCTTATCTGGGTAAAGTTAACCTTAGACATAAATCACCAAAGGCCTCCAGGACAGTCAAGGAATCCTTAACCATTGACTCTTCAGCAGCACTCATAGCCCCTACCATTGTTTTTCCTTCTTAGAGTGAACTGTTTGGGCAAGAAGTATGCCCCTGCATTCCTGTTCAATTCAGTATGTATGCTTTTGAAAAAACTGTTCACCATGTGCTTTCTGTAAATATATATAATAATAGTAGTAGTAGTAGTAGTAGTAGTATAGTAGTAGTAGTAGTAGTAGTAGTAATATAAAGGTAGTTTGAAGGGTTAGCCAAGCAGCTTCCATATCAGGATTGAGGTTTGACAGCTAGAGAATTGTTACAGTAAGGGCCTAATGGCTGACATCCTTCTCCATTATCCTACTTCCAGACTTAATTGAGCCTACTTCTTATAGAATAATACCCTAAAAAAGGCTATAAGAGTATGCCATACTATGCCCTATGTGAAGGTTGAGTTACAAAGTTGGTTAAAGAAGGTGAGCTGGAAGTTGAATTTGTGGGGTGCATAGTTACTAAGGACAACATGAAAGGATTTCTTTTCCACTAGTTTCCACAACCCAAAGGCAAGCATACTGTGGCCTGCATCTAACAGCCCAGTTTTAAATTCAGACCATTAGATTAGAGCCTGCAGTATGTCATGATGGGGTGTACCTGGTTTACATGACTGGCTGAGCAGATATCCAAATACTTCAAAAAAAGGCTTCATTTACATAGATATCAGTTACAGTATACCAGGTTTACCTGAAGGATGCCACATCTCTGTCCTATGTCCCTATGATGCTATGTTTTAGGTTGTGGTCTGGGATCACATCATCACCCCATTCGAGTTTTTACAGAATAATTTAAAAAAGGGTACTGAGGGAATGGTGACTCTGAGTAGCAAATGTCTGAATAATTAGAGTGATAACACCCAGAAAGTGGGTATTATTTTGGTGGGACCACCCAGAAAGTTGTTGTGATCTATGCGGGACTGCCCAGAAGGTGGGTGTATCAAGTATGGGCCATTAACAGGAGTGACAATGTCCGAGGGGACTGGAATGAAGATGTTGAAAAGTATGCATTTATCTGTATAATATATAAATGCATAGCATGCTCCATATTAGCAAAGTGTAGACCTGATAAAGGCTGAACTTAGATGAAACGCATCAACAGATGTGAGATAATCAGCCTGGGACCCCAAATGCACCGGGCAGATGTGCATACATGATTGATCAAACTAAGAAGGCAATTGCCAGTTAACAACTCTCCATCATGTGTGCTGAAATGTATTATTCTAGACACCTTTTGTTTTATAAGTGGACTTAGTGGTTTAAAGAGACCATGTTATCAGACCATTCATTTCAACCAAACTTTTCCCATAAGATCATACGTATATTTGATGTACCATATTTACTGCATGTTTTTTAACCATCGAAGCCTCCCTTGTGTAGAAATTCAAAA